AGAAAGAAAGAAAGAAAGAAAGAAAGAAAGAAAGAAAGAAAGAAAGAGAAAGAAAGGAAGGAAGGAAGAAACAAAGAAAGAAAGAAAGAAAGAAAAATAAAGAAAAAAAGAAAGATAGAAAAAGAAAAATTTTCAAGCTTCAGCTATGTACCGGATACTATGCTAGGTACTAGGGATACAAATACCAAAGACAGTGTCTGCCTCCTCGAACTTAGATCCTAATAGGCTTTTCCTCTTCTTTCTCGCCTCTCCCCCTCCCATACCCATTATATTCCCACTTCCTAAAAATTCCTATTTCTGATTCTTTTCTCTATTTAATATTTTTTTATTTATGTCCAGTTTGGAGCATAATTCTTGATTCTTGTTGTCTACAGGAAGATGATTTGAATGGAATCCACATCGTGGCCTTTGCAGAGAAGAGCGACCCTGGTAGGCCCTTTCTTTCTCCCCAAGGCCCTGTAGCATCACACCTTCCATAAGAGTTGACTTGGTTTAATCCTGGAGCCCTCCCCCCAAGGGCTGCCTTCTCATCACAAAACAGTAGGGGAATGGTAATGGCGGCAGGGGTTGGGGACAGGGAAGAAGCAGTCTATCAATTCCAGGAGCCCAGATGAAGACTGCTTTTACTATCTCTCCCTCCCTGTATCTGAAATAAATCCAGGAAACCCTGGACACCCCGAGCAGTCATGCTGTTGGGACAGAGTCAGTTTTCAATTATCTGTGCCAGCAAAGGGAAACATAACCAGGGCTAATCAAAATACATATGACATAGTCAACTGCAAAAATGTACCCGAAGAGATACAGAGAATCCAGTATAGATGATAAAACTTCAAAGCTTTGTAAGTGGGTGTGTGTGGGTGGATGGAGAGAGGATACATCACTTTTGCTATACTAATTTTAACACACATAACAGCATAGGGAAGTGGGTGAAAGGCTGGTCTCTAAGCCAGGAAGACCTGCATTCAAATCACTTCTTGGCTGTGTGACCCTGGGCAATTCACTTACCTTCTCTAGTGTTCCAGGCTGTAAATTCTCTAAGGCTGTAAATTTCAGAGAAGGTGCTCCTTCTACATTGGTAGAGGCAGTTTCCTTATCCAGGAATTCCCCATGAATTGGCAATAAAATTATAGGTTCCCTATCCCCTATGACATTAAAGAGAGTCGTGTCATAGGAGATAAAAAGTCAGTGTCCAAATTAAGAAGGCCTGGATTCAAATCCTGCCTCTAACACACTGACTGTGTGACTTTGCACTAGCTCTGAGGTCAGGTGCCCTGGGTTCAAAGTCCATCTCTGAGTCTTCCCATGTTTGTGTGTGCTAAAGGGGAAGGGGAATGACAAGCATTTATTAAGCACCACTATGCGCAAGACACTTTACAAATATTATCTCATTGCATCCTCACAACAATCTCGTGAAGGAGGTGCTATCATCATCATCATTATTATTATTATTATTATTTCACAGTTGAGGAAAGTGAGGCAAAGACTTCTCCAGGGTCACACATTTAGGAGGTATCTGAGGTCAGATTTGAACTCAGTTCTTCCTGACTCCAGGCCCAGTGCACTATCCACTGCACCACCTAGACATTGGGGAAATCATTAAATCTCCCAATGCCTCAGTTTCCTTGTCATTATAATTAAAAGGTTGAACGAGATAGAGTTTGAGGTCCTAAATCTATGATCCAGGCTCTAAATCTGTGATCCAAGAATTTTTGGAAGTTACTTGGCTTCTGAGTGGCCTCTGCTACCTTTTTAAAACCAGAAGTTGAAAAGTGGGTTCTCCCCTATTTGGTGCAGGGAGTTTTCTCTACCAATGTAATCACAGGTCAGAAAATAAGAGGCATTAAACCCTCCACTAAAAATCTATTCTGATGACTCAGCAGACACAAGGGTCACCCTCTCAGTGGCTCACTACCTCTGGCAAGGTCCTTTCAAGCTGTCAGGGCTGGTTGATTAACTGTATGTTGGTCTGACAACCTGCCTAGCTAAGTCAAAGAGGTTCTCACAAAGGTGGCTACAGGAATATGGAGTCTTTTGGGCTTTGGAGAATCACAAAGAGCATCTAATAAGTCACAGAAGGGTTGCAATCTTCACTGGTGAAAGAAGCATCCACAATGACAAAATCTTGGATCTTTGACAATGACATTAAAATGGTGGTCTGATTAAATCATTTGTATGGAGTAGCTTATATTAAACATGGCAGTTTACTGGATGGGTCTATCTGTTTAACGCCATAAAATATTTCCTCTGCTTAGGAAGTTGACCAGGGAGAAATCTAATCTAGCCCCTAAATTGGATGGAAAATAGGCAGTACAGCTTATCTCTAGACTGTCAGTTACTGCCAGGTGAGTGGCATTTTCATAGCCAACTAGTGGTATGTTGATTTCACTTGTGTTTAAGTGAAATAGCAGTGGAAAGGGGGGTAGAGGGGAGAGAGACAGAGACAGAGAGAAGAAGGAGAAGGAGAAGGAGAAGAAGGAGGAGAAGGAGGAGAAGGAGGAGAGGGAAAGGAAGAGGAGAGAACAAAGGGGAGACAGAGGGAGGAAGAGGGGAAGAGAAAGGGAAGGAAGGGGAGAGGGAGAAGAGAGAGAGATTAGAAAGAATTAATCGTAGGCTCTTCTCCCTGGCAAGACGTGCCAAGGTGACAGTATTGTTTAGTAGTAGAAAGAGTCCTGGATTTGAGATCAGGGGACCTGAGTTCAAATCCTGCCTCTGGACCTCAGTTTCTTCATCTGTATAATGTGGGGACTAGACTAGATTATCTCTCAGGTCCCTTCCAGTTCTAAATTCCATGACCCTATGAAATATTTGTGTTGGATCTTATGGGAAAAATGTAAGTGAAAATGCTAGTAGAGTATAAACTCCATGAGGGCAGAAACTTCTTTAATCCTCTGTGTTTCCCACACACACTGAGCTCTTTATAAATGTTGTTGATTTCGGTTATGAATAAGTGTTAAAGTTAGGTTCAGGGGAGACTTGCTATAATTTAAGAAAAGAGGGAGGAAGGAACAATGTCATTTGAACCAGACAAGCTGGCAGGCAAAGCCCTAAGTAAATTGTCTCAGAGGAGCTTTGCTTGTCAAGGAATGTCCAAGAGGTCTCAATCTTTTTCCATGTGCTGTGCACCTCTGTGAGAGTGCACAGGATTTTAGGCTCATAGAGTTAGAAATGAAAGGAAGCTAAGATACTATCTAGTACAAAGATGATTTTTTTTTTTTTTGGTGAGGCAATTGGGGTTAAGTGACTTACCCAGAGTCATACAGCTAGTGTTATGTGTCTGAGGCTGGATTTGAACTCAGGTCCTCGTGACTCCAGTGCTCTATTCACTGCAAAGACAATTTTTAAAGATAAGAAAGCTAGGGTTTATAGAGGTCAAGGGTCAGTCAGTCAATGCACATTTATTTAGCCAGATACTGTAAGCACTAGGGATCAAAAGAGGCAAAAAACGTCCCCTTATCTCAAGGAGCTCACAGCCTAATGGTGGAGACAACATGTAAACACCTATGTACAAACAAGCCATAGACAAGATAAATTGGAGGTAAGCCTAAACTTTGGGAAGGCACTCACATTAAAAGGGACCAGGCAAAGTTTCTTGCAGAAGGTGACATTTTAGCTGGGACTTGAAGGAAGTCAGGGAAGCCAGAAGGTGGAGATGAGGATTCCAGGCATGGGGACAAAATGCTTGGAGGTGTCTCATGTGAGGAACAGCAGTGTCTGTGTCTGGACTGCAGAGTACTTTCGAAGGAAAAATGAAATGTCAGAAGACTGGGAAGATAGGAAGGGGCCAGCCTGTGAAAGGCTTTAAAAGGCAAACAGAATTTTATATTTGGTCCTGGAGGTAATAGGGAGCGACTGGATTTTGTTGACTAAGGAGGTGACATGACCAGACAGCTGCTTCAGGAGAAAGACTTTGGAAGCTCAGTAAAGGATGGACTGAACAAACCTAATTACTCTAAAATCCCTGTTAGGTATTCTTTGCACTGTTCTAGACCAAGAGAGAGAAAAATAGCATAAGAAGCCAGTTGCCTAAGGTTTACAAGCTATATCCAAAGAGAATGAGGCTCCTAGTGTTGTGTGAACAGGGATGAAATCACAATTCACAGCAGCCACCTGGCCAGTCTCCAGCAGGCTCCTACTTCCTTCTCTGCATGCCGCGCCACCCCCCCCCCCCCCCCCCCCCCCCGCTTGTGGCGGCGCCCGCCCCCCCCCCCAAGAACAACCCCACCCAAAGGCCTCCCCGAAAGTTGCACTAACCTGTTTGACCGAGATTGGAGCTGTAATGAATCAAGCTCCTGAAAAGCTCCTTTCACCTCCTCCCTACACAAATATCCCTGGGCCCAGATCCTGTCTGCTCCCAAGGGGGCCCAGGGCAGGGCCAGGGCAGGCCAACCTTAGAATGGAGGCAGCTGCCTAGACTGGCCACCCCTCCCTTCATTGGGAGAAGTGACTCTCATCTAGAAATAGAAAGGATTTTCTGGGCAAGACCCTGGCTATAAGACTGGTCAATCATTGACATCAACTTTTGGTGATTTCTCTCCTGCAGAGGGAGGTGGGTGGCAGAAAGACCACTTTCTTTCAATGCATCCTCCCCCTCCCCTGTGTGTCCTGTAGGTCTGGAAGAAATGCTAAGTGCTGCTGCTTGTAGATCTGATCCCCCACCCCTAAGCAGCCTGCTTCTCTCTCTCTCTCTCTCTCTCTCTCTCGCTCTCTCTCTCTCTTTCTCTCTCTCTCTCTCTCTCTCACACACACACACACAAAGAGGCATGTGTAAGCTCTCCTGAAACAGAAAGACTGTGGTCAGAAGTGGTGCCTCGGAGTGTCTGGGAAAGAGGGCTAACATAATGCCATCACAGAATTTTCGAGTTGGAAGGAATCTGGGAGGTCATTTAGTCTAACCCTCTCTTTTTTCAGACAAGGTTCAGAAAAGCCAAATGCCTTAAGGTCACTTAGCCAGTTAGCTGGTGGCAGAACTAGAACCCTGGACATCCGACACCCAGTTCAGTGGTCAATTTCATAGCCTTCCCAGTGTGATCCCATACAAGCAGCAGACACTGTCTAAGTACACCCAGGCGGAGGAGAGGCAATGCCAGGGAAAAGAGAAGGGAGAATGGGGTGGACAAAGGAACCGAAGAGCAAGAAGACAGTTTTCCATGAGGGCAAAGCATGGACACTTCCTGCCAATCTCAATTCAGAAAGATGATTGAACTCCCTCTCTTTTATCTCCTCACTGGGACCCTTTCCAGGATTTGGATTTTCTGCTTAGATCAGAAGGACTTCAACCCTTGTAGCTCGAAGTAGTTTGTCATAAAAGTCCTTGATTTTAAAACTGAAAGGGCTTACAGTGCCCTTCATATAGCACATTCCTTCATTTTACAGATGAGGAAGCTGAGTCCCACAGGTACTAAGCAGAAGAGCTGGGATTTTGACCCAGA